GCTCCCAGGATGGGGGTGGAGGGGGTAGAGAGGGTGGAGGGATGGACATATATTTGAGTGGCTCTGACATGTCTGTTTGTTTAACGTGCATTATATATGAAAGACCAGAGTGAGGGAGGAAAGACCAGGGCAGCAGGGCAGCCAAACAGAGCAAACACGCAATACAAGAGATAGAAAGTGAAAGAGGGGCAGCGCAAAGCTGCTGTTTACAGCTGGGTACACAAACTGTAGGTGGAAAGCTTCAGTTTTCAGCACAAAGACACTAGATTTAGTATCACAGGCTCAACTCAGACTGTTAGGTAACCCTATCTGAGATGTTATCATGCCTACTTTTAGAGGGAAGAAGGGTTTAATGCTGGATAACAGCAGGATGACCATCCATTACCATTCATCATGTCATATATATTCTCTCAGATCAAATATATATGAAGCTGTTGTTCATTATGGGAGGAAGACCGTTTGCAGAGGACTTATAGATTGAGCCTGTAATGTAATTGACAGATCCATTACGGCTGATAGAAGTGTAAATAATTTACCTGTGTGTGTTCGTGTGTGTGTTCTCCTCAGCACCCCTATTTAGAGTTACTGAAAAACAGCAAACACAAAGGCATTTTCCCTCCTTTAAGTATAACGAAGGGAGAAGACAGTGAGTCTGACAGACACAGCAGACACATTTTCAGACAGCATTAAAGCCACGAAGGAGCTCCTGGAGGAAATGGATGCGTATGTGTTTCTGAATGTGTGTGTTTGTGATGTAGCAGGAGGCTGAGAAAGAGTTTTTGAAGGAGGTCAAAGGGGAGCTTAAATAAAGGAGGAGGACAGAGTTGAAGAGTTCAAAGGAGCAAAAAATAGTCACTGCGCTGAAAAAGAAAAAAAGAAAGAAAGAAAAAGCTCTTATCGCATTAGATCATCCAGCTAAAGTCACCCAGAGAGGCAGGTGTCGGCTGATGTCAGCGTTTAATATTTGCTGTAGTTCAGTGAAGTCAGCGACTTGTCGAGACCTTGTTTGCAGGATTCATTAAGCGAAGTCTGCGGATAAGGTAATCTGCCTCATTACAGTAAAGACAAAGGCACAAAGTGAACGAGGAGAGGGAACATTTTGCTTTGTTGTGGCTCTACTGCAGTGTGAGCCGACCTCTAGAGGGAGCTCTTATCATTCTAAAGTATCAAAACGCTTTTAGCTGGGTGATGCACTCAGCTCATAATTTAAGCATAGCTTTTGTGTGATTTGAGCCATAAAGCTCAGGCTTCCCTCAATCCCTAAGACTCTTTGTTTTGGACCATGAGACGACACAAAGTCCCTCTGGCAAAAGAGGGCGAGCCAGGTTTCTGGAGCTCCCAAAAGATATGAGAAACCCACATCCTGCTGGCTTTGGAGTTTGGTCTGTCCTAAACTCAGTGACCAGTGTAAGAATCGGAGAGACTGTGAGAAGACTTGATGCCTGACTTTTTTAACCGTCATTGACTGGAACACTGAGTAAACATTAAATGCTGGGACTAAACACTGAAGTATTTTAGGCTTGCTGTGTACCCTGGCAAGTATACACTCGTTTTAATGAGATATTTGAGGCAAAAGAAAAACATATGGCTCATCCCTTTGATTCCTTAGCAAGTTCACTGCTAATTACGCCACATAAATCTGTATTACATGTTGTTAATGTGTGAGAATGAGGTTCCAGGGTTTTACATAATCACCATATTTGGAAAATAATTGCTACCTGTCTGTACCCTTATGTTTAAAGTCTGATGATATTAGAATCATGATAAACTTTGATGCTATTTCTGCTGATTGCTTTGAAAGTGTGAACATAAATGTGTGTGTGTGTGTTTTTCTTGAGCCAAACTTGCCTGCATGCTGTTTAGTTTCTCTATGATTAATGATATAATACAGAAAACTAAAACTAATAAGATTCTGTTTTTGCAGTTACACACTAGTTACTGCAGGCAGGCACACACACACCCCTCCATTTCTCCATTTTCATATACATATTTATTGAACTATTGATGTTTTTCAGGCTCCAGTGAAAACACTGAAAGAAGTATTCGTTTTATTTGTGAATGAAGCACAGATAAAAAGCATTTGGAGGCAAAAGAAAAAGGAAATCCGTACAGTACAAAGGGCTTGTTATTGAACTGTTTTCCCCTTGTTCCATCGAGTGAAGACCGATAGTTTTGAAGGCTTAAATGATCCTCTGTGCTCATCATCAGCTGAAAGAATCTTTGGAACTTCACTGATCTGATCAATACTGGCGCTGATTGAGACAGAATTAAATTCAACGCTGGTACTTTCATTAGGAAAATGATATGACTGAGCCAAATGGCTTTCATTCTTTTCAGTCAGCCTCCAACCATCAATGCTGCCTCTATATGCACTTTCAAATAACAGCGTAAGTGTTGGGAAAACAGCAAAATCAATGACCGGGTAAAAACCCTACACTGGATATAATGTTTCCCTCTTATGTTTTTCCCCACATCACCCTGAGCTACGTCGGCTAATTAAACTCCAGGAAACAGAACACAAACTAAT